AAAAAAAGAAAAGTTCAAAAAAATATGAAAAGGAGAAAAAGTTGAATAAAAATAATGATGAAACAAAAATAATGATGAAACAAAAAAGCATTGGAAAAGGGTAGATAGGCAAAAATCATGTATGAAATTGCATTATGGTGACTTAGAAGGAATGGAGTACATGTTGTCATGGGGTGGGAGTTGTCCCAGAGACTTCCTTTCACACACTCTCTTTCCCCAACTTCCAAACATAAACATGCGCATGGCTTCTTCTTCCTCTCTTTTAGCGGAACTCAAACCAAAAATGGGAATCACCCCTGCTAATTAGTGCTGAGTGGACCAGGCACTAGCCAGAATCAGATGACAATAAAATTTGGGCCAAAACATATGACCTCTGGACTGGAAATGGGGCTTTGGAAATGTAAGCAATAGCAGGTCTAGGATAAAAACATGCAGGCAGCTCACTTCATTAATCCCAAAGGAAAGGATTTGGGAAGACAAAGAAGGGAAAATCAAGCCTCCATATCTCAAGACTTTTCCCAGGAGACTTGATAGCTTATAGTTAGAAATGATGAGACAATGATCTGCTTCAGCATCACTGCTGGGTAGGACAGTTTAGGACAACAACAATGAAAAAAAAGTCATACCTGCTAATCAACAAGAAGTAACTAATCACAAGCTTGACTGTGAAGTATAGAAATTAGGGGACCCTGGTAACTAAATTTAATATCTGGACTGAGTATTGTTATGCCTTTACGGGAATTAAATTCAACAAAAATTTATTGAGTCCTCTCTGTGGTAGGCACTACAATAGGTGCTAGAGATCTGAAGATCAGTCTTAAACTGAAAGGAGCTCAATCCAGTGTCAGAGAATGAGCTTTAAATATATTTATTATTAATATAGTTAATACAGCTATAGATACGTACAGGGGAGCATTAAGCCACAGGGAGAGTTGTGTGGTCAGGCTAGTCAGGCAAATAAGAAGGCAAAGAAGAGAAGGGTTTTCCACATAGAGGGGCCTGCACTGAAAAAGGTATTACACAATCAAAAAGGTATTACACAATATTGCTGGAGCTGAAGATGACTAGAAATGTAAGCACTAGCAGGTTATAGAAATTAAGGACTTGATTCTATAGATGACAGGAGCCATCGAAGAGTTTTTTTTGTTTGTGATTGTTTGTTTTCAGCACTTTAAAATTTCATTCTGTTGTTTTCTGGCCTCCATTGTTTCTGATGAAAAGCTAGCCGTAAGTTTCATTGTTTTCCTGTATGTCTTCCCCCCACCCACCCCCACCCTGGCTGCTTTTAAAGTTTTGTTTCTAGGTTTTTCAGCACTTGCACTATGTTTCTAGGTGTGGCTGGTTTTCTTTGTATTTATGCAGCTTAGAGTTCACCTATTTCTCTAGATCTGTGGATTGCTGTTTGTTGTTGCTGTTTCCTTTTATCAAATTTAGAAAACTTTTGGCCAATATTTCTTTCTGCCCCTTTCCCTCTCTTTTCTGAGACATTTACATTTATGCTAGACTTCTTTGTCCTTAGTACCAGTCATTCTAGGCTTTGTTCATTTTTTTTTTTTCAAATCTTTTTTCTTCTGTGCTTCAATTTGGATAATTTCTTCAATTTAGATAATTGAGATCCAGTGTCTGGTAATTCCTGAAAATCTGAACATTAACATTTTCCCAAAAGCACAGTGACCCTATTAATGACTGCGGGTTCCTTTGAGGAAAGTTTAGAGACATATTAGTCAAGAAGACAGAAATCACAAGATATTACAACAGAGAGAATCTGATATTGGGTACTGAAGGACTGAAAAAGCAAAAAGGGAGCGCTGCAGTAGACCAGAAGGATAACTGTACAGAGCAGCTATGACCATTAGGGCAACTGAAAAAGAAGGGTCAAGGCTGGACTATAAGGTCTCAGACACTCAGAGGAATGACCCAGCTGAGCAGTAGCTCAGTTCCCTGAAAGGATGCTGTTTAACTGGTCCTCCAACCACTGAGAGGGATAAGATGAAGCTGGTTGGGGATGGAGGAGTGCCAAAAGAAGCTCAAGGCTGAGATCAATTGCTGCTGCTGAAGCAAAGGACTATTGCTTACCGCTGGGTAACAATGACAGAAACTGCAAACAAATAGAAAGGTGGAAATCCTTTCTCCCCTTCTGTCCTCCAGTCTCCCTCCAATGGCTTTTATTGGTGGGACCTAGTGAGACACCAGCTGGCACAGGAAAAATATTCTTTGCAGGGTCTGAGCCATTGCATCACAGAGAAAAGTACAGAAGGGTGAATTTGGAGCTAAGATACCTCAATAACAATATCTTAATAACCATATTAACATTTGTTGTGCTAAATTAGTAAAAATTGCCCAAATTAGACCCAAATTAATACTTTTACAGACTTGTATGCTTTTATACTGGTATGCTTATATGCTTTTACAGACTTGTATGCCCCTCTGAAAAGAATTTCAAGTTACCATGTTATAACAATTTTCTGCTATACTGTGATTCCTGTTACTGTCTTTAGTAAAGAGTACCTTTACGGCAGCTCACATATGTACTTGCTACAAAATCAAAAACAAGGACAGTTTTGGAAAAGATGTGTAAAACTGAGGATAAATAGACCCTGCTCCCACATTACGTCTCCCACAATTAGGCACAAAAAGGCATAGACCAAGTAGAGCTGTCAAGAATCCAGTCTTCTCCCTACTTCCCTTTTGTATGCATTACTTAATGTAGCCTTAGCAAAGAGAAGACAAATTTCCTATTTGAAAGTAGGACAACCACTATGGTCATTGAAAAAGCAACACTATTCCTTTGTTCCCTCTTGCCTCAACTCAAGCTTCCTTACCCAACCCAATCACCCCTAGTTTTCTTTTTTCTTTAAATGTTTTTTTTTTCCAAATGTATATTTATTTTTGAGAGATCTCAAGCAGGGGAAGGGCAGAGAGAAGGAGACAGAAGATCTGAAGCAGACTCTGTGCTGACAGCGGTGAGTCTGATGTGGGGCTCAAACCCACAAACCATGAGATCATGACCTGAGCCAAAGTCAGACACTCAACCAACAGAGCCACCCAGGCACCCCTCACCTCTAGTTTTCTAATATAAATAGGTGACAAAACAGGGCTTGGTATTAAGCATTTTACCTTATTGTGTACTTTTCAAAAATGAATATTTTTGAATATTGAAGGATTTTTGTTGAACACTTGTAGAACATTGGGCATGAACATTTTTTTAGGACAACAGACGTTCCATTCAAAAGGGGTCATTTCCTCAAGTCTTATGTTCTTTAGTGATGAAAGTTAACATTCTCCTACCACAATTACCTTTTGTTAATAACAGTAAAGACACTGGGTTCATGATGTTTCACATATTTATTAATATTTGTTTTTGAATATATTAGACTAGAATTTTCTACATCTGCATATATTAATTATATATTATATAGCATTCTGTCACTTATACAACACAAAACATTTATAGGTAAACATTAAAATGGCAGTGTACCTATGAATAAGTGAATGTTAACAAAATAATAATCAAGTCTTCACTTGATGGGAGAGTCTAGGATTTCCTGATAATCCTGCCTTCTTAAATTCCTCCAATAAAGTTTATAACCAGCAAGGACAAAAACACTAATCATAATGATTACCCCTCCAAAAACATCATAGACACTAGGAAATATGTGTAACACTAGAAGCTGCAAGACCATAGCTACTACAATCTCCAGGTGTTGCACTGTGCTGACCAAAGCTGGATGGAATTTGTCCAAGGCATAATAAACTCCTAAGAATGCTGCAGTAGAACAGACACATATGGCAATGAGGTAGCTCCAGGTTTCTCCATCTAGTGGGATGATGGGTTCTTGAAGAACAAACATAGTAGATATTCCCCAGATTGTCCCAGTCCAACCAAAGGTAAATAGTGCAGTCCACATGCTAATCTTCTCTTTAATGGATCTGTATACTATCATGGAAAGAGCAGTGGTCAGTCCAGCCATCACAGTCATAGTATACCCAAAGGCTTCTTTCCAGGCATTTAACAAAGAATTGTCTTCATCAACAATGTTGGGGATCATGACAAGACAAACACCTAAGATGCTGCAAACAACAGTAGCCATGTCAACATAAGCCATTTTCTCATCCACAAGTAAAAAAGCCAGAATGGCACTGAAGACTGTGGTTGTGGCTCTCCACATAGTGGTCCCATTGCTGGGAGGAACTATTGAAAATGATGTATAAGCACAGGTGATAGAAATGACGTTGCATACACCATAAAAGAAGAGTCGTAATCTGTATCCACTGGGTCCAAAGGGTGCCTCCTGGTAGTAACACACAACTAACACAGACAAGACCTGCAAGACAGAACGGATAAAAATCAGTTCTAGAGATGGAACTTTAGAACGGTCAGAAACAAGCCTAGTGATAAGAGCTACACATCCATGAGCCAAAGCAGATCCAAACAGCACTATCCACATTTTTCTGGATTGAAAAATGTTTTTTTCTGCAAAGCTCTGGAATTGTCCAATATCATCCGTCATTGGGTCTTCCGTTGGTGGAGGTCGAGTATCCATGGTTCCAAAGAAAGTTCTTCCTTTTCTTTTCATTTCACTCAGTAGGCCTTTCTTTGGATTTTCTTCCATAAAATTTCCATAGTCTTCATTGATTTCTTCATATCCATCATCCCCAGGCTGGGGATAATGAGAAGTATATTTCACCATCACAGTGTTGGGATGTATTTTCACCCGTTTTTTAACTGGATGTTTTTTGGAGGGAGAGGTATCCATTTCTTCAGATAAGCAATTCTATTTAAGAAAAAAAAAGACAAATGTACATATTCATTTGGTGGAAATTTAGTTTTAATTTCTATTATAATCATACACACCAATTTAATAATAGAAAGTAGAGGTTGTAACAGGAGTTTTTAAAAAAAGTAATAGGAAGAGAAGATCTGGCTGTGCCTTATTAGATGTAGGAGGCCCAAGGAAATCGTCTGCACTTTTTTCACTTTTATTCTATGTCTGCCGCTATTTCTCATTCTGCTTATTCTTTGTCTCGTGCAGCCCCGTTGCTTATGTTTACACCTCAAACAACTGATATTTTCCCATCTTTTCATTCCTACGTGTTTCTCCACTCATCCAATAAGAAAAACACAGAAAAGTAAATAACAACTTAGATAAAATCTTTCCTTTCTACTGTGTTCCTTGTCTATTATAAATTTTAAATGGATAAGTCCAATGTTTTTTGAATAATCCCTTCTGTATAATATCACATTTAGCTCTATATTACTAATTATTGTCTTTTAAACATTTATTCTGGGCTCCCCATACATATTTAGATAGACAAAAATTAGAAAATAAATAAAATGGGAGTGCCTGGGTGGCTTGGTCAGTTAAACATCTGACTCTTGACCTCAGCTCAGATCTTGATCTAGGGGTTATGAGTTCAAGCCCCACGATGGGCTCCGTGCTAGGTGTGTAGGGTACTTAAAAAATAATAAAATAAACAAACAAACAAATAAATAAGTGGATTTAGTGACAGTCATGCATTGTTGGTGTGTATTACATCTCTGATGAGCAATTGGTTAATATGTTTTAAGATTTTGACTGAAACTACTCTTTAACTCAGCAATATCACTTCTTTTTTTTTTAAAGGAGCTTCAAGGTTTTTTGTTGTTGTTGTTGTTGTTGTTGTTGTTGTTCACTGTTTATTTATTTATTTTTGAGAGAGCACAAGTGGGGAGAGGGGCAGAGAGAGAAAGGAACACAGAGAATCTGAAGCAGGCTCCAGGCTCTGAGCTGTCAGCGTAGAGCCCAATACGGGGCTCGAACCCATGAACTGTGAGATCACGACCTGAGTCAAAGTTAGACACTTAACCAACTGAGCCACCCAGGCACCCCTCAGCAATATCACTTCTGAGATTTTATCCTGAAGAATTGACCACAAGATGCTTTTTATCTTATGTGTTTAAAAAAGGAAAAATAATACATTTTTATATGTGCTTATATAACATACAGAAATTATGGAAAGATACAAAGTAAACTAACAATTATTAGAGTAGAACAAGGAACAAGAATGGAGGAAAACATTTTTACTGTATACTTTTTTGTATTTTTATTTTTGAATCACAATATTGTTCCAAAAATTAGATTATAAACTAAAACAAAATGTTCTGCTATTTTAGAAAAAGAGCATACAAAAAATTATGGAAAAAAATGTATGAATACGAGGGTTCATTGTAGCTTACCCCAATGTCCCTTCATAAATTAAAATACTATGCTATACATCCATTAAAAACAAGACAGATCTTTATTGACACTGAAAGATGTCCATGACATTTTGTTGAGTAGGAAAAAAGCTTGTTGTAAGGATTAAATGAGATAATGCATATAAAAAATTTGGCACAGTGCAGGCACATCATGAATCCTCAATAAATGTTGACAAGAATTCAGTTTCCTTTTACCTATAATTAACTCTCTTAAAACACTAGGTATCTTCTACATTGTTTCTTTCTTCAAGACTTGTATCTGTTCACTCAGTTCTCTTTTCTGTTCATTCTCTGTCTCTTTTTCTAAGAACAATTTCCTATTTCCTTCCCAATGATTTCTCCCTTCTAAAAAAAAAAAAAGGAAACCTTTTTATTTTTTTGTCCTTATAACATACTCCCTGTCCTTGCCAAAAACTCACCAGTTCCAGGATCTTAAACCATGGTCTAGAAATCAAATCCTATTTTGTTCTTTGACACCATCTGGGTAGCCAACTGTTTCATTCCTCTTTACTCTTTTCTCTTCTAAACAACACCATCTTCAGTTGGAAGAAGTCATTTTAAAAAACGGCACCTGTACATCCAAGTTTTTCACTTTCCTAGCCTGGACCTCCTACTTGCAGTCATTCCTGCATATTGCTATCAAGCCAATATGATGTTCTTTTCTTCCAACTTTTTTTAAAATTTATTTTGAGAGAGGGGCGCCTGGGTGGCGCAGTCGGTTAAGCGTCCGACTTCAGCCAGGTCACGATCTCGTGGTCTGTGAGTTCGAGCCCCGCGTCAGGCTCTGGGCTGACGGCTCAGAGCCTGGAGCCTGTTTCCGATTCTGTGTCTCCCTCTCTCTCTGCCCCTCCCCTGTTCATGCTCTGCCTCTCTCTGTCCCCAAAATAAATAAAAAACGTTGAAAAAAAATTTAAAAAAAAATTATTTTGAGAGAGAGAGAGAGAGAGAGAGAGAGCACACACACAAGTGGGGGAGGGGCAGAGAGAGAGAGGGAGGGAGAGAGAATCCCAAGCAGGCTCCACACTGCCAGCGCAGAGACCAACGTGGGGCTCGAACTCATGAATTGTGAGATCATGACCCAAACCAAAGTGAAGAGCCAGATGCTTAACCAACTGAGCCACCCAGGTACTCCTTTTTTCTTCCAACTTTTATCATGTTGTGACTTCAGCTTCAATAATCCCAAATTGAATAGTCTTCATCTCCCACATAGATTTTCCTTCCCTAACCTCCTCATTTTTGTTTGCGATACCACCATTTCTCCAGTTCCCCAAACTAGAAACCAGGGAATACTCTCAATTATCCTTTTTGCTGTTATACTTCCATTTGGTCATCAATCTTACTGTTCTTGTCTTTGAAATATTTCTGATTTTTCCTTTCTTCTCCAATTCCATTTTACCTTTGTGATTCTGGATCAGGTTATTGTGAATTCCTATCTAGAATATTGCAACAGCATCCTAACTAGACCCCTTAAATCCTAACCCTTCTCCCTTAAAATCCGTCTATATTGTACCACTGCCACTTAGGCTGTCTTTAAAAGATTCAAAACAAAACAAAAATTTCCCTTAAGCTTTCCCCACTTAAGAACCTACAGTGATTTTTTTTTTTCCTGGCTACCTCACTGAATCTCAACTCTTTTGCTTGGCTCTCCAGACCCTACCTCATCTAGCCCCTATCAGTACTTGCCTCCTTAACACACATACTGCTGTGATCAGTCCAGTGCCCTCCCTGACCTCACTCCCTACATGTACATGTCTAAGTCTTATACTCATGAGTTTCCTCTGCTCCAACTTTCTAAACACTGCTCATTTTTTAAGAAGGGCCAGTCCAAATTTTGCCTTTTAGAAACAAGCCTTCCCTGGTCACTCTAGCCTCTTATTTTTTTCCTTTCTTGTTTAACATCTGCAGTAGTTCTTCTAATTTTTGTAATCTAATCATTTTATTATTTAGTTGTCTCAACTCGGTGGCATTTCATCTCCAGCTACTCTACTCAAATTTCTATCTTAAAATCTCCTTTCCTTGCAGGGCACCTGGGTGACTCAGTAGGTTAAGTGTCCAACTTCGGCTCAGGTCATGATCTCACAGTTTGTGAGTTCGAGCTCTGTGTCAGGTTCTGTGCTGACAGCTCAGAGAGAGGAGCCTGGCTCGGATTCTGTGTCTCCCTCTCTGTTCCTTCCCACGCGCACTCTGTCAAAAATAAAGATAAAAAAAATTTTTTTTAATCTCCTTTCCTTGCTAGTCAGCAAGTATCTTGATGACATCTCTGTTAGAACGCATAACTTCTCATGTGCTACCCATTGTTAAAGTTTTGTCTTATATCCATTAAAAGCTTTCTCCTTCCCATTGCAGGCCAGATTTATAGCTCCAGGGGCACGGGCAGGGAGAAAATGTGTTCTGCAATTTTGCTCCTTCTCCCATTCCCTCCCTTTGGAGTCTGTGGGACGGTGGTGACTCTGCCTCTGGGACACCTCTTCCATCTCCCTATTCTAGGCTCTAGCTCCCCTGGTATATTGGCACAGGGAGAAAGGAAAAGGAAAAGAACACATGTTTTATATTGGCTCCAGTTATGTGGCTTTTTGATGTATAAACTTGGCTGTGCCGAACTACATTCCCTAGTTATTTAATCGAAACTAATCTGGGTGTTGCTGTGAAGGTATTTTGCAGATGTGAGAAAAATCCCTAATCAGTGACTTTAAGCTAATCAAAAGAAAGTGTACTCTGTATGGGCCTGACCTGATTGGGTGAGCCCTTTAAAAGAGGGCTTAGGCTTTTCTTGGGTTTGGATATTCCAAATATTTAACTCCCTTAGGGTTACAGCCTACTCTCGATCTTCTTTCCTCATTGCCAGTGGGCAAAGCTTCAGCCTGTGCTCATGGGATTCCAACATGTTCTTGATCTTCTCTTCCTGACTGCCTGCCCTACAGACTTCAGACTTGTTTATCCAGTCCCCACAATTATATTAGCCAATTCCTTGTAATAAATCTCTTACTGATTCTGAGTCTCAGGTTGAACCCTGATTCTGACAACATGTTGGAATTCATTCTTTAATTGTTGTCTTTGTTTCTCTGTTAGCTCTGATAGGTCACTGATACTTTCTAGGTTGTAGGTATCCAAATTCAGGCTATCTTCGGGAAATTCTGTAGGGCCTCCCCAGTGCATAAATCCCTGATGTGACAGCACCTCCTCCCCTAGGGCTTATGGCCCACAGATTTTTGCTGCTAGGTCCTCTTCCCTGGAGGACATCTCTCTTGGGCAGGCACCAACAGTATTTACCGGAAACACATACCCTTACCACTCAGTGGAGTGTGCCTCTGTCCCCTTCTCTCCAACTTTATTTCTCTTCATTCAAACAAGCAAAGGGCAAATTAAAATGTGCTATCTAAGCAGACTTAGAAATGGAGAATGAGAAGGCACACTCAAGCATCATACATAACGATCTGGTAACCTTTACCCTCAGTCAGCTATAAGAGGGGACTTGCCTCTCCTTTCTCCCATTAGGAAAAAGCATAACGTTTTTCTTAA